AGATAGATAGATAGATAGATAGATAGATAGATAGATAGATAGATAGATAGATAGATCCATTGCCAGTTTGTTGTATCATTATAAAGTTCCCCATATCTTTCATCTAGTATAGTATCCATTGGTAATTATTTTCTATATCCATTATATTTTTTGAGGTTGTAAAATGGTGATTTTCTAATTCTGTCCTTTCTTTATATATAAATTCTTTACACAACATATATGCTACATAGCACTGTAGTCTGAGGTTCTAGTTTTTAATCATCAATGCCAGCCTGTATAGACAGTGCCCCCAAATTAATCTTGGAGTCATGGGACCTGTCCAGAGTTTGAAAAGTCAGTTTCTCCCACATGTGATCCTAAATTGACTGGATTTATAAATCACAGCAGCTCTGACCATGCCTTTAGATGTCCAGGCCTCCAGCTCTGCAGACACCTATGGAAAAATGGTGCCCTTATAATGAACAACGGCTAAGTGAAAGACAAAATTAAATTGTTTTAAAATGAAAGATTTAAAAAGTGGTCCTGTGGGCTGGGGCTGTAGCTCAGTTTCCTAGCACATGTGAGGCACTGGGTTCGATCTTTAGCACCACATAAAAATAAACAAATAAAATAAACGCATGCTGTCTATTAAAAAAAATAATAATAAGCAATCCTGTTCCTAGACCACTGTTTCTAGGAGTCAGATCTCAAATGTCAAGGAATGTATGGAATGTCTTCTACACTGTTCTTCAGTCTTAGAACAGGAGCAATGGAAGAATTTAACAAAGTAAACCAAGAATAACAAGCTTTGAGAAAGAGGTTTTTTGAAGAAAAAGTTGATAGTTTAGAGAACAAGTCAGGTAGATTTTTCTCTTTGCCTCCCTGGCTTTCTGAGGACAAACTGCCACCATGAATGACACAGTAACTTTCCAGACCAGCAAGTTCATACCCAACGACTACTTCAGAGGAAACAAATGGTTGATGATGTTCTTTACCCTGTGAAAGCAACAGTACCTAAGAAAGAAATTTGATAAAAAAATTAGCCAAAATGTACAAGACCACATCAGATGTCATCTTTGTGTTTGGATTCAGAATCCATTTTGGAGGTGACAAGATAAGTTAATGATTCCTTGGATTATGCAAAGAAAAATGAACCCAGACATAGACTAGCAAGACATGGTCTGTATGAAAAGAAAAAGATTTCAAGAAAACAGTAAAAGGAACACAAGAACATAATGAAGAAAGTCAAGGGGACTGCAAAGGCAGATGTTAGTGCTGGCAAAAAGCCAGTCTCTGTGGTGATTGTGCAAATTAATTACAAGGATTCATAAACTGAAAACTTAAAAAGAAATGGTAACTTGGACCCAGTGAAATCCAATAGGAAAAGAAGCAAAATCTCAGGAAACTGTACTGCCTCTAAAAGAAGGAACAAGAATATGGGCACTTCTTGGCCAAGTGCTTTTAGAGCTACATAGAGACTTCTTGGTAAGAACTGCTCCTTCAAGCCTGGGACAGTGATATCAAGTATTCCCTGAAGGTCTCGACAGTCTAAGAAGAAAAATCAGTCAAAAGAAAGTAGCTACTCAAGGTATTACTTAATGGGTGTCCAAATGTCACTTGAATCATAGATGGAGACACAGCCTTTGCGGTACCAGAGGAAACATGCCTGAGAAATTTGTACAGCTGAGACTCCAAATGAAGATGGCAAGGAAGGCAAAACACAGGAGAGCCAGCCTGGATAAGCTATTAGGTCCAATCAGAAAATCCATGCCAGTTAGGATAGTCTTAACTCAGAAAGGTGAGGGTGGCCATGATATTATTAAACAATGGTTGCTTTTGTTCAAACCAGAACCCAGGGACTCAATCTTTCATAATGAAGTTTCCCTTAGAACAAAATGTTAAATAGCACATGTCTGGGGCAGAAAGAAGAGAAAATTAGCTTCAAGTTTTTTTAACTTAAAAAAAAAGGGAAAGGAGCCATCAGATTCTACAAGTAGCATAGGTGACTCAAAGAAGAAAAGGGATCAATTTTGTTGTGACAAACTCAGTCATTCTGACTGGACTTGGAATTACCTCAGTTACCAGTTTGGCCTTCTGAGGGCAACAACTTCACTCTTCACTGCAGTCTCAAGAATATTCACAGCGTAGTTGCCACTGAGGTAGGAGTGGGTAAGGGATGCACTCATGAAAATGGGGACAGCACTTCCCTGAAGGATTGTTGACTCCTGTAAAGGAGACGATCACACTCTTGCTTGGCCTGGAGCTTAATGGTTAAGCCCAAGAAGCAGAAATGAGGAGCGTTGGAAAGAATGAACCTCCTTTCCCCTAATATTTTGCTTCCATGAGAAAGAGAAACCCATTACATAACATTTTTTTGGTTTCTCTGTGCCCTCTGTCACTACTACAAGGGACATGGATGAATTTTCTAACTGCAAATTAGCAAAACAAGAACTTGGCATCTGTGCCTCAGCCCCTTGGTCCTCCTTGTTCTCTTGGAAGCCTGCTTATCTACAGAGAGAATACATTCTGTTATATTCCTCCAGTCTTCAGAACTTAAAATGGCAGGCAGGATCTGTCCATGCAGTTGGAAGCCTCAAGTTGTCCAACATAACTAACTATTCAAAGGTGTCCTTAATTTAAGGGTTTAATGTCAGAAAGTTCACTCTCCCACTTCTGTAAGCCATTTTTTTCAATATTATCTTTTTCTTTTCCTTTTTCGTACCAGGGACTGAACCCAGGGGTGCTTAACAACTGAGCCACACATCCCCAGTCCTTATTTTATATTTCATTTAGAAACAGTCTTGCTGAGTTGCTTAGAGCCTTGCTTTTGATGAAGCAGGCTTTAAACTTGCAATCCTCCTGACTTAGCCTCTGGAGCTGCTAGGATTATAGGTGCATGCCACTGCACCCAGCCCAATATAATGTTAATTAGCAATAAAGGTAATATGTCATATCCCTCTGCTTGGCCATTTATCAAGTGACCCTTCTAGAAGTTTCATAGCCTATCTGGGATGGTGGATATGGCCAG